TAGAGAGTGGGATCCTATTCGCAATATTGTGTAGCACATCTTGTTTAAAGGAATGCCCGGAAAATTCTTGCATTCTTTCCCAACATGAATATGTCAGTTGTGATCACTGGAACATACAAAGTTTCACGCATGAAGATTCGGTTTCCGAAGAGAAACAAACTTACAAAAACCACACTCTATGGACAATCGAAGGTAAAGGCGCGGAGCCAAAGGCGGGGCATGTGGATGTTAAGGCAATGAGTCAAAAGGCCAGAAAGAGTTTCTAGTGACGGCACTCCAGAACCAAGTGGAAGCATTCCCGTCGCCAGCATTTGTGACAGATGTCCGGCGGTACTTTGAACGCGTAGCAGCCCTTTCGATTTTTCGAATTTTTTACCAAAACAAATGCAATTTTTGTTCTTTTCGTTCTTATCGTGAACGATGGGTCTCAAGCCAGTGAATTATGGGTGAAATAGAAACATGATTTTTCCGCGAAGGATTCCTTCAAGCAAGAGGTGAGTTCAAGTCCCGTTTGAGGCGAAAGTTCTGTTCACAACCCAGCATTCTTGTAAAATTATTGCTTCATCTTGATGGTGGTGGGTATAATAAAGTGGGTTTGCACAAAAAGTCTATGCATCAATGAAAGCTGTAGTCAAACAGGAAGAGAAAAATGATGTAAAGTTTTTGCTGCGAAGTTAGTCAGGCCGTAGATGTGCTCTAACCAGGAAAATCTTTCAGGACATGAGGTGGTCTTTTAAAACTGTTTTTGATGTCAAAGGGACAAGCGTGGGGCATAAAACTGAGGATCACTCCTTTCAGAGCCTCTGATAATGCCAAAAACAGGTGGAAACAATGGCTTGTAGTTTAGTTGTCCACTGAAGACAACTTGTAACATTTCTCTGATTTTTTCACTTTCCTGGCCTCTTATATGTCTCAAGTCATTCCTTGAACAAAAACTTTCGAATACGCAATTATTCGGCCTACAATTGCTGAAGAGTATATTCAAAACCAGTTGGATCGCCCAGCTCACGCCGGGCTCTCCTCCATCTTAAGAGAACGCCCAGCTACTGCCGGGCTCTCCTCCTACTTATTGGTATCGCCCGGCTACGCTGGGCGACTGCCCTTTCACAGCTTAGGCAAAATACCCTCTGAAGTAACAATTTTGGACCACAAAATACGCAAAATAATCAATCCATTTTGGAAACTGATCAACGAAAATTCAAAAATCGTCGACTATTACGACAATATGTCAATGTAAGTGAGCGGTGATAGTGTAACGTAAACACTATGCGATCGAGAAGTCACGAAGAAGCAGAGTACTGTTTAGTCATGGGAGCGGCAGGTTTGTGAAATGCCAGAGGCACACGTGCAAGGTTTATTTTCTATCACCGACGTCTGTCAAAAAATAGTCGAAGGTCTAGCGGTGAGATATTACTCAGTTGGAGTTTTGGTTTCTACTGCGCGCTCCTGAAAAAATATACCCGAACGCAGAAAATTCCGGTGAACACTAAGGCATCAGGCCGAAAAAAACACAGCTTGCGGAATGCTTCGTCCCAGATATCCATTTCTCGCGGTCGTGGTTAGCGAGTCACTACTTCTGACCTCATCCTTGAATGCCCTATTTCTCTTCATTCGCGTTCTCGTGCCCCTCAGCCGCCACTACAGCACATTTATATAGTCGTCGTGAGTGGTATCACAATCACGACACCACGTTGGAATAATACGTCAACATGGATGTAGACTTTACTCTCGAAAGCGGTTGTTCTCCCTCCAGCCTTGTACCCTCTCGGCTCACGGCAGCACCATATAAGAAAATCGGTTCTTCTCACTTCCTGCCCCTCTGTCAAAGCCACCCCACCTTCCCCCCTATTCTTCCCCTCCCACCTCCTGCTCAACTTCACCCCTCGCCCCTTTTTTGCCATCTCTCCTCCGAGCTGCCACGGCAGCACCATGTAGAATGAGGCTGAGTTGCTCGATCGGTGTTTATATAGCCGCTGTGGGTGTTATCATGATCATGACATCAACATCACGAAGTGTTGCCCTTCGACTCCCCGGTTTTGTTAGCGGTTGGTCCGGACGGACAGAACACACACACACCGACAAACCGACACACCAAAGTTCTGGTTTATATAATGAAGTGATACATCCATCTCAAAGTGAGCGTTCTACATGGACATTTGGTACTGCCGCTGGAAAGCAGTATCATGGAAGTGCGGACTATCATACGAATCGAGGCAGGAAATTAGCGCCGAAGGAGGTTGTGCCGAGAACTGTGAAATTCTGCTTGCGTAATCAGTGAAGTCCTTGCCTCGGGGATGGCGTCTCATTTTTCACTCGTTCTCAAATTTAGTGTCCCTTCTGCTCTCCATCATTTCCGGCATTGTGTTCATTGTATGAGAACAGTTATCAATTGCTAGTATTGTAGTTTTAGGTTCTCGTGATTATGATGATGATTCAATATTGCGAAAGCTTACCAGAACAAATTGTGAAATTTCGAAAGAGTGAATAGCTTCTCGTTACCATAATTAAATATTATATATTCCCTCTATATATAAAGCAGTAGTTTGGTGTGTATGTTTGTCCAGCTGAGGCCGATGTCAGGCTTTGCGAATCGCGCGATTTGCTAGCGTCTGCGGTCGCGTCGCGGCCAGTGAATCACTCAATTGGCTGGTATATATATATATATATAGTATATAATATATATATATATATATATATAAATATATATAATAGTATAATATAGGTGATGCTGCGGGCAGAATGCTTGCATGCAAGTGGCGAAGCTTATGACTCACACGATCCAGGTCCAAACCTAAACCTCCGCAGGAGCTGTCCGAAATCCAAACCAGCTACTTTTGGGAACTCTTGTGAAAAAAACTGCTAAGAATAAGAATCAGCAGAGCATTTGTTAAATGGCATACTGATAATGATACATACTTCACATTCCAATAGAAGGATCGTGTTATACGCATGACGAGATCCTGGTCTCTCAGCAGCAGATCTTATTGTGGTATCATTTTCCTATCAATCACCGCGTTGCCTTTCGCTCTCATTCATCTCCTCGGCACACGATGAATTCGCGCCTTCGCAATAAATTTTCACTTTCATCTCGTGCTGATCGCTCTTTCGCGGATCACCTTTCACGCAATTACGTAGATTCAAATGGAAAGCATTCCAAACCTACCTCTGGTTCCCAATTTTTCTTCATGGAACCTCGAAATAGACGTTAATTCCCTAGCCAGGGCGCTCAGATGGAGTTGCTATAAATAACCCGTAGTTCTATTGAATTATCTGTATTAATCAGTCCTTTCCAGAGTACAGTGACTGCGTATTAGCCACCAACGAAGCCTTGGGAGCAATTTTCATTTTCTCACGTTTCTGCAAAAACTTCTTCCTTGAAGGCAGAGAGCACAATTTTTTAAGCAGTGGAATCTCTGCGCGAGAAAGGTGCAGAAATCACAAGGCTCTTCCCGAATCGAGACATAAGATTACAAAATCAGGGCCTCAAGGCCCAGCGAGGCACCCGAGGGTCCACCCGCTTGCCGAGGCTCCGCCCGCTTGATATTTTATCACCATATGATAACAGATTACGGGAATGTTAAACAATAAGTGCGCTCCAGCAGGATAGCGATTTTGCTGGAATTGGTATCCAAACAAAAAACCCATCTGTATTCACTCAACGGTCAACGGCCCCCGGTTCTGGAATCATTTTCAAGAGGACGCATTTTGTGGATCTTACCTTTTCACTGACTTTACACTTTGCTCCTCTTGCTACTAGGGTGACCTGATTTGTTGAGTATGTCGTCTACGGACCGCAATTTTTATCAGTGACTGCAGAGGTGTTTGCCTGTATGAGGTTCAGTCGCATCGCGATTGAGTGAGGAACGGATTATTCTATGTATGTGAGCTGGAAATAAGCCTTTGAATGAGTGCGATTTGAATGAGCCACCATTTTCCACTGAAACCCTCGGCACAAGAGCATCATCAAAATTAGCAAATGGTCCCACTTGTCAGACCAATTAGAAGATAAAATGCGAAAAAGAATGAAAGAATTGCCAAGAAATCACAGTTGAATGCTTGTTCGTGGTTAAGGCACGCAGAGTTTCTGATGACATCTAAGCCCAACCTAATTTTTTCAGTACTTTCGGTCAGTTGACCTCCGCAATCGAGATCATCGATTTCCGACAGTGGTCTCGCCTACAGTATCCTCATTTGGCCAAAGTGATGTGCGGGTTAAAAGCGGCTAGGATCGAAATCCACCTGCTCAATCAAGTCTCCACCTCCTTGGAAGAGTATTCGTCTGACAAGGTAATATTCAACCAGACTCGTCTGTGAAGACAAAACACTAGCCGGTGGATTCGCTGGCCATCGCATCTTGTCGTTGACGCTAAATCGAATTCAGCTGTTATCACAATTTTGCATGGAATTCAAGTGCAAGGCGCATCCACAAAACAACGGCACACCCAAAGGAGGTAATCACGTATAATGAAGAAGTGTAGAGAAGGGAAAATTGTAAGAGACAGGCGAATTCGGCGGTGCTGAACCAACGAGCAATGGGGCAGCGAAGTTATTTGACGTCGCGATACATCATGCTCACTCATGAGACCGTTGGCGGGGTACGCCACCGACTAGTCTGATCACTCGCCGCAGGTCTATACGTGGCGAGTGATTAGATAGCAGAGAGAGCGTAGTGTTGAAGAGGGCACAGCGATGAGAGTCGCATCAATGCGCAAATCAACGGGCAAGGAAGGGGTCCCATTTCTCGGGTTTCGGGCCGTTTCAAAGTTTCTTCTTCATCCCTGCTCCACTGACCACCTCTACCCTTATTTCCAATGAGCTAACTTTTCATCGTAAATTATGCCTTTAATGTAATCAATCATAATCATAACCATAATCATAATGCTGAACGCTTTAGAGTTTATGCATCCATATCAACGTCATAATCATTCGATGATCCCTCTTCCGCGATGATTACGATCACGTTTCAAGTGCAAGGATTCGATCAGGATCATCAAGCAACTTTCAGTGATTTAATTAGGCGGCGAGCGTTTATGTCTCCAATTTCTTGGGTGCCTTGATCGGGGTCGGAGAGCGCGAGCGGGGCGGCTGGACACCAGATAGAGCCGCAGCAACCGCAGCAATTGTCGCCGTTACGAGAGCGCATTAATCAGCGATGGTCATGTTTTTCCTCCTATCATAGGGATTAAACGACTATGGTCAACTTTTGTACCAAACCCGTTCCAGTACCCGACCACGACCCGCTTTTTCGTCACCCTACTACTGTCTCGACTCTGTTACAGGATTCTTTACAACGCTTTTCTTTCTTCCCTACTTTCTGACGAGAGGAATTTTTGCGAGTGCCTTTCTTATACTTTTCGAGGTCAACAACTTTGTTCGATCGCATTTCCCAGTGTTACAAAATTTCCTGTGCCCAGTTCCCAGTCAAAAGTAAAATTAACGAACCTAGGAAGAAAAAGAGCTTGTACGGTCACCTACAGCGAATTTTGTAGCTTGAACAATCCCAATGAAAGAATTTCTGGCCTTCAAGCTCCTTGACACGAGTACAAGACTCAGGTTATATAGAAAAGAACAGCCTTTGTGCCATATCGAGACTTTGGCCTGGTTTCACTTTCACTCTCACAATCGCTGCTAATCACTTTCGATCAGTTCCAATTTCTCCACCATTCCTCGGCTGGAATCCTTGTCACCCGAACTTGCATTGATTTATGGTCACACACCTATCTTCTTCGTAGCCTATCCATTTTATTTTGACAATTTCATCACTTCTATTTATTTCTCAGCCGAACATGTTTCCCTATTTTTTATTTACCTTTTTTACCTGGCGGTAAACTTACTTTTTTTGCGTAATCAAGTATTTGTTATTTATATTATTTAAATCTGCAAAAAAACATTAAAAAAAGTTTCTTCACTAAAGTTTCATGACGTATTTGAACGAATACAAAAGGCATTTTCTTATCAATAATTTCCTGAATTTAAACACTTTTCCTTCCTTCCCTTACTGATGAGCACAGAGGAAGGTTATAGAAATTCGTCTAGTCTCCGTCTAAGGGCACGTGCGAAACGGAGGCTAGACTACAACTTTGATTCCCAAACCCCAACCCAAAATTAAAGTAGTTATTACTTATTAAATATATTATAAGCAAAGATTACAAATATTAAAAGGAGTAAAGTGTATTACTTCTTTGCGTAATCAAGTAATAGTTACCGAAAAAACATCGTGAATCACTGGGTAACGAATTACCCCATTAAGGTTTATTAACCGCTGATTCTGCTGAATGCAACATTGGTCGCACAAGAGAAGTTGTCCATGGCTATACATCAACCAGTAACTAAGATCGTACCCGCTCTGTAAGGATGTTGACGAGCGCGGGATGGGTGCTGGGCGAGTTCCGGCTTTCTGAGATCAGGAAGACAAAGGATTCGTCCATTTTATTTCTCCTATGTACTGAAGTAATTCTTCATAAGTTCAAAATTATCGGTATGTAATCCGTCTCTCTATTATTGCTGGCCTTTTCGTCGTCTGCAAAATTCTGTAGATCTTCGAATTCCATGTTCCACTAATGGGTTTGATACCTTTTTTGTAACACGACATTTTCTCACCCTTTTCCAACGGCTGATGCATTCGAGAAAAAGCTGCCGAATTTGAATTCAGTCATTTGTCTTCCCTAAATTTTATTTATTTATTCATTTATTTATTACACTGGTGTGCAAAACTTAAGGACGAACGTAGTTTTACCAAGCCGTGTTACTGGCGAGTAATATAGCGCTGTGGAACCTAACCACACATGGAAAGAGCTGCTACAGCGCAGTACAGAAAACAATCAACAGGAACCTTTGAACGGCCCACAGAGCTATCAGAGTTTGTTATTACTTCATCTATCTTAAGTTTTGCCCACACCAGACTGTATGTATTTATTATTATATTTATTTATTTATTATATTATTGCTTATTGTTTAGAGAACCAGTGTATCAACTTACAATAGCTTTTCGCTGGCCAGAAATCATATCATAGGAAGTTGCATTCCATTGCGGCGACAATTCTAAATGGAAGTAGGATGCGTGGCTCACTCCACTAGGGTTTGGTTCAGTGTGTTGAATGCTTCGAATTACATCTGCTTTACATTAAAAAGGGTCTTTCAGGACGTGGAGCCGTTTTTTCGAAATGGTTTCCTGAATGTTGTAGAGGCTCATGTGAGGAACACAGAACCATGGTCCATTTTTCCTGAACGCCTCCAGAATGTCAAAACAGCGGGAGAAATGGTCCAAAAGTTCGATCCTCCGTGATGACAAATTTTTGCAATTTATGTTGGCGCCTCCAAATTGCCGCAAAACACGACAATGACATCTATTCTCGACGATGGCGCCATGTGGCGAAGAATCTGGGGGCCCTAAAAACTATATTGCAAAAAAATTAGTCATCAGCCGGGGATCGAATCTCTGGACCATTTCTTCACCACTGTTTTGACATTCCTAGGAGGCGTTTCAGGAAAAATGGATCATGGTTCTGTGTTCCTCGCATGAGCCCCTACAACATGCAGAAAACCATTTCGAAAAAGCGCTCCATGTCCTGAAAGACCTTCCTTGTTAGTTTTTAGCAATGGGGTCACGTTCAAAACTTCACGTCGGGTGGACCTATGAGCTAACCATAAGCAGCTCTTATCGATCATCTAAAAAATACCGGTGGTTTTCAAAAAAAAAAAAATAGGACCAAGGCACTTTTTTGCTAAGGGTGTGTCGGTAGCCGTCTACTGTGTCTATAAACGCATTGTCTCCCAAAACGCTGAATTTGGGATCCTCCAACGGCACGTATTTTTTCGAATCGGACACAACCCATTTATCTTCCTTAAACAAAATAATGAATCTGAAGCTTATGGCAAAATTCCGTTTCGAAAAAACAATCAAGAAGAAAGCCAGCAGAACCACGATAGTGGATTCGCATTCAACGAATTATTTGCCACGTTGGTTGAGTAGAACAGCCTTACCAGAACAGCGTAAGACGAAACAGACTCACACAAAAGTTGCCACATTCAAGAGACTCCGAAGCGTGGCTGCGTCAGTTAGACTAGGGCCTCACTATATGGTGGCCACTGTCGCGTAGCCCAGGGTGATTACCAAATGGAAAACGGTGCGGTGTGGTAACTCGGCTCACCTGCTTATGCTCTCGCCGACAATGATTCCTTTGCTCGGCTTCCTGCCTCATGAATTTCCGCCGCCATAAGCTTGTCGTCGTATCGGACTGCCTAAGAGGAATAACTTGTTATTTTCGCTCTTTTATACGCCTTCTTTTCCTTCTTATCTCACTCGTGCTTTCCCTCGCACCTCTGCTTTTCCCCACACTTCCACTTTCACTTTTGCATAGTGCAGCAATATGTCGAGATCATGAAATGTGCCTTTTAGGTTATGAATACTGTTATACTTGGTAGTATATTGTCATTTTGACTAACAATTATATCGTCGATATTGGTTTAATTCACTGAACCTTAGGCGGTGCATGATGGTGGCAGTTCGATAAACACCAATTTCACTACGCCCCATGACACTCAGATCAAGCATCTCAGCGGGCCAAACTAAGGCCTACCGTCTGGCTGGTGTTCGGTAATCAGCCGATCAAGCCAGATTCGTCCAGAATTTCGAAAACACTGTAATGACTTGGGCTTGGTCCATATGTAGCATGCGACAGTTACACATTTAAATGCCAGAACGATTCTGAGTGGAATAGAATGTGTGGCGTATTCCAGAATCTTGTTGATCAAAATCTCGTTGTTTGCTCCTGCTTAGAATTACGCAAATCCCTATTCAATCGAATGGAAGCTTCATTCTGTTGTGCTCTCTCTCCGTCCTCAGTCCCTTTTACCTCAGCAAAGCTCACCAGGGAAGTCTTTCAGATCATGGAGCGCTTTTTCAAGACGGTTTTAATTTTATATACAGGGGTGGCCAAAAAAAAAAGAGACACTTCACTCAACATTCAAAACGGAATTATTTACGCGTCGCGAAACCAAACCAAATGACCCCAACTGAATATTGAAGAGCACGTTATAATCTATCAACAAGCTACACAACAGCCTTCTACACCGACGACATCAGAAGATTTTCCCACGGAAGCATTGTGCGCGGTACGATCTCAACGAGGTCGTTGAGATACCATAGACGATTACGACGTCTCTGAAACGCAGGTCAAAAGCGGTTTTGCACATTCACAGCTAATGTCTCTGGGAAGCTATTCAACAATTAATTCACTGAGGAAATTGTGTAGCAGCTTCAGGTCGGAGCGATTTCGGTAAGCCTCGTTGAGCTCGACGGTGACGGCAGATGACGTCATATTCTGGAGACGGCAGGGGCAGTGAAGGAGTGCTTGCTTCTGTTTACGGAGGAACAACTAAGGAATATAACGCCATAAAACTTTCATTAACATCGGCTCCCTGTGTGACGAAAAGTTCGATGATGTGCGCCATGGGCTGAGTGTCTCTTTTTTTTGGCCACCCCGTAGGGCAGATCATTTTTTTTTCTGAGCGGCCCTAGAATGTCGAAAAACATGTTGTAACACGGCTTGTGATCTCCACTGACGAAAGTTTTTTGTTGTAATTTCTTGGGTTTCCTCTATTTCTGGAAGTCATTACAGTGTCGAAACTCCATCGTCTAACTAAAAAAGGCTCTCCACTAGACAATTATCTAACACAAGGAAGCTGCCAGCGGTTTCGACTAAAATGTATAGTTTCACTTGGTGAGGAACGTTTTCTGCCCTCTTTCCGGCGATCTCAAGGCCCCTCAGAATTCCTCTGTAACATCCAACAAACTCTTTTCAAAAAGCGGTGACTTTCCTGGTTATAACCAAATGACCTCTTACCTGCAGCATTTTCATCGGACTCCTTACCTTTTATCGTAACTGCTGGCCCACTTCGCAGCAATGCGTAAAATTTTCGTGTTCAAAAAGCCTACCAGTTTGGTCCTTGGCCGCGCCTATCACGGAACCTCTGCTGCCAATTGAGGCAGTTTCCAAGCTTCCTTTGCCGGCAGGCATTCTTCTCGTCATTTACTAAGAAATACCCCACAGTATTCACATCTACTCTGCACCATTCTTCAGCTTCTTGTTACTTTCACTTCCCGTTGAGCCTTTCGTGAATTAGCTCCTCTTTATAAACATGTATCTTAAATTGTCACGAGCTGTCATTTCATCTCTCAGCTTCTCTTTCCTTCTGTTCAAAAACAAAGCAGGCATGGTTCCAGAAATTTGGTAAAGAAGCTCGGTGATGATGATAGTGCTGGCTTGAGCCACGAATGTCGAACGTCAGTAATGCAATGGTCGACACTAAGATGACGTGCCGCGTGATTGTAAGGCTTGATATAATTTATGTGTGGAATAAAATTGTGAGCAAAACACCCTCAACAATTTCGTAGGCTCATTTTCGAGGAAGACTCATTTGGCAGCTTATCGCTGCTTTTCCTGAGCGTTTTTTCAACCCTATCGATAAACGGTCTCGTTGACTCCGAACTGATACACGGCAAGTTCTTCGACCTCCTTCTAATGTTTCTCTCTCGATTGATCCCCGAAATAAATCCGAAACCGATAGTAATTTAACCAACCCCTTGGAAAGAAGGCTCTCCATAATCTCATCAAAGAATGTGTTTCTTAGTATGTAGTACAGTAACCTTCAATCTTCAAAGTGACGGGTTAATTCAGACATGTGGCTGAGCAATAAATTCGCGTCGATCTCTTGCATGGTACTGCGATCGAGCTCTCTGATATACTTGAGCCGCGATGACACCTTCCGACCAGGTTATCCTTAGCGTTGACCTGTTTCGATTAAAATCGTTGCTTGTCACCGGCGTCAAAATTGCTCCAACAATAGCAACCAACCTTCACTCTGCTCTCTAAGAAGTTTCATTCCATGGTGAGAAAAGAGTTAGTCAGATGGGCGGGAAGGCTAATAACAGGAATTAGAAAAAGGTAAGAATGTAGCATTAGGAAGCAAGTTGCAACTCGTCATGTTATTTACTTTTAAGTACTTTTCTTGTACTTAACTAGACTTTACTAGGTTGTTAGGTGGGACAGAGGCCGGTTCCACCTTTTGCCCCAAACTGACTAACGCTCCTTTGTGTGCCAGGTTATCTACCGCCTCAAAGTTGCGAACCTCAGCACCAGGACGACTATCACGGTTGTTCAACCACACGTTTTCTTTAACTCACCACTTTTATCCCTTTGATACGGAGCAAAAGGCCGACGTTAGGTGATCTCAGAAGCGCGCTTACAACACGCAAAACAATACATTAAAATAAATCGCTCATTACACCACGCTTCGAAAGAACTGAAGAAGACAGCCAAGATAGTCGCACCAGCACATCCAGAATATAAATGCTGGGCCACCTGAATAGCAATGTTCCACCGTAACCAGCCTCGATACCTATGCGCTAAGCAAAACTGAACAGAGCCAGAATGGAAATCGTAGCAAGCATTTGAAATCATGAAAAAAATCTCTCTAACATGAAAAGACTGTCAGCATAACTTTTAGGAAGCTTTCCAAAACAACCAAAAAATTTTCAGATCGCCGTTCGCCATACTGCCAACTTGGCGCAGCGGATGAACATCTCGAGCGATGGCAGTCGAATGGCCATCATTCAATATGCCGAGACGCCTCGACTCGAGTTCGCCCTCAATCAGTACACCCATCCAACGCAGGTTCGTTCTGAATCTCTAAACCTTACCAAGTTTTGACCACAGCTCAGTCTTCAGATCAGCTGACCACAAGCTCTACACGTAGGCTATTATTGTAGACTTAAAGGTTCAAGTTCTGATGCATTTTCATTGTTGTTTGCTTCCATGCTAAGTCGGTAGTACACATGTGAAGTGTGTTGTCTTATTCACTCAATCGCCTGCCAGTTATTACGGGTACATTGGCGTTACATTGCATGACTTACTGAACGAACCTGTAGCACGAGAAGTTGTGACTAGCGCTAAACTTAGGCTACTGCCTGCATAGTTACAGCCACAGCTAGCTGTTAGCAAAGTTGTTAGCTGTGATGATTCCCTGACTTCAAACCTTCGTCCACAAATCTGCCCTGGAATGAGTTCATAGGTGGCTTCAGTCTCGCTCAGCATGGAACTCTCTCGGCTTGATCGTCTGCACCCTGTTCATGATACTCACTGTTTATTAGCCTCTTCTTCTTCTTTAGCGTTTGTCCTGTTATTAGCCGCATGGTTACATTTCACAATGTATATTTCACAACAAAGAACGTACGAGAAGGTACTATTCAGTGATTTCTGATCTTGTAGGTTTCCTCTTCAATTCAGCTGGCTTCTGTTGAACACCTGCACACTAATTTTTAGCCGCATTTTGCTTTGAGATTTCGTGAAGTCTGAGCCCTGCTCATTTGTTTCGAAACAATGCCCCAATTGTGTATTGAAAATTGGACTCTATTCATCCATAACACAAAATCATTTGATCGAGTGGGTTCAATTCACCATCATCCAGGGAAAAAACCGAGACCGGTCATCATTCCATGAAGGACCTAAAGCCACGGGTCGGGATTAGTTGCTAAGAGTCAGTACTTCCTTCAGTGAGAAGGACAGATCCCAAAGGAGTCGTGACACTGTTCCGGCTCAAACGTGGAGCAGGAGCAGAGTCACGACTAAGGCTGTGTCTTGTTCGCTGCAAGCGCTGCTATCCTCAGTCACAGCATACGTGGCGTCTGCGCCCTCTCGCGTACAACGTGCTCTCTCGCGTTTTCCCTCTCCTCGCAGCGCTGTCTCTCCGTCATACCACGGCCGACCTCACAAGGGAAATTTCAGTGTTTTCTATGGCGCTTTTTGCTTTTTCTCCCACTAATGTTAAGGCCCTCATTGCACTTCCTGTCTAATTTTCGAACATAATAACACAACAACTCTCCCGATCCGTGTCTTTGAGAATCTTGAAAGGATTCTATTCCAAAGAATAGTCGAACCTGTCTCTAAATGTTTCAGCTGGAATGGGCGATACAGCGAATCAATTTCCTTTCCGGCGCCACGAACACAGGCCAAGCACTGAAATTGGCGCTCGATCGGGGATTTGACGGTGCACGAGGAGGAGATATTCCAAAAGTGGCTGTTGTGGTAACAGATGGACAAAGTCAGGTAAAATTCGTTGTGACATTTTCTACATACATCAAGCATTCAGCCTTTTAGCCCTCATTCAGTCTTCCTGTGCAGGTGCTACCCGAATTAAATGATATTTAGTTTTTAAAAATATTTTTCTTTCATCGATCTGGATCTCGTGATGGCTGTTTTGTCATTTAAGTCATTTTTGTTCGGAATTCAATGGGAATAGGGAGAAGTGTGAGAATACTTCCAGTGAGATTTGTTGAGCCGCAACCAAGATATTATCAACATTTTATTCGGCTAACGTTTCGGCCTTATCGCCTTCGTCGGAGCCTGGAAAGTCAAAGATAAGTGCGATTTACCCCCAAACATCATTTCAAACTTCAAGAAAAGTCCCATTAGACCCGATGTCTCTAGAAAATTATCTTTGACTTTCCAGGCTTCGACGAAAGCGATAAGGCCGAAACGTTAGCCAAATAAAAGCTCTTTAATATCATGGTTGCGGCT